AGCACCTTTGGGTTTCTCTTCTGAACTTGCTTGTAGGCAGAAACAGCAGCATGAGAACACTGGGCAGCAACTTTCCCTTTTCCCATCTTTAAGTCATTTCGGACCACAAGAATCATTTTGTATTCCCCGCTCTCTCCCAGGATGCTTGCTTCAGTTCCAGTGTCTGTGTCTGTCTCACTCGACAAGTTTTTGGGGACCATCCCAAAGCGAACCCGGAGGCCCCAGCCCAGGCACACACCACAAGCAACTCCAGCAGCCAAGCTGAGTGTGCCAGGATGAGCCAGATACTCCATAATCAAGGACGTGGAGAGCATCTTAAGAGAAAGGAGAAACATTAACCGTGTCTAGCAGTAAAAAACCCACAAGCTTATCATCATACGGACTATAGGGAGCAAACAGTGTCAGAATTATATGAGGTCATCCAGAAGAAGGGCAAAATATACTCTGGATCTTTTGTGTGTACCATTTCAATCCATCCTCTGTGTAACAGAAAAGATTCAAGCATCTACATCAAACAGTTTAGGCCACTTGAGCTGATGTAAGAATTCTTTGGTTCAAAAACTCTTACTTGGTCTTTGTAAATCTCGTGGAGAAAAGAAACGGTCTGTCGTACCAGTATACTTAAAAGATTTAAGGAGAAACCAAAAATAATAGCCCTTTCCTGAAAAGCCGTGTATTTGTTTTTTCACAGTGCGCTGGCTCCCAGTCAGTTCCCCATGTTCACAATAACGGGCCAGCAGTGAGGTGCGCTGCTGTCATTTACTAGGTGCGAGGGAAGGCCAAAAATCTTGCAAACATGAAGTTGTATCACTGGACATTTGTATATGTGCAAACTGCTGATATCGGAGCTTAGAGCCCAAATTCACTATACATACAAAGTACCTTATTTTTGACATAGTTTTAATAGTTTTTTTGAAATATAACTATCATATAAAAAAGTTAGATCATCCTTTATCCCGTTTGAGAAAATCCTGTTACCCCAGCAAAGCAGTTGTTTATATTTGAGTCCCAATAAAACAGCTGTCTCAGCCTGTATTAAGGCTGTTATGATTCATAATGCTTCCATGTATAGTTACAAGCAACCTTTTCTAGCAGTGTGCAAGCATTTGTAAACATGAAGCCACCATATTTGTGTGCTTGAAAGAGAAGTCCATAACCTACATGGTATGAATGATAGTCCTGGAAATACTTACCATAAATTTTCCATTTATTTTCATTAGGTTAAAGTAAGGACATATGTTAACATTTCTTAATTGGTAAGATTATGTAGTATTATCAAATTTTCATTTCAGAACAGTAATAGATCTTATTTGTTAAAAATGTAATTCACATAAAATAAAATCCACCCTTTTAAATTGTACACTAAGTGGGTTGCAGTATAGCCACAAAGTTGGGCCACCATGACCACTATTTTCTTTCTTTTTTTCTTTTGTCTTTTTTTTGAGAAGGGGTCTCGCTATGCAGTTCAGGCTGGCCTTGAGCTCACTTTGTAGCCCACGCTGGTCTCAAACTCGCAAGGATCCTCCTGCCTCAGCCTCCTGAGTGCTGGGATTACAGGCTTTCGTCATCACAGCTGGCATTTTCACTACTGTTTTCAAAGAACATTTTAGTTTCACTGAAAGTAACCTCTTACTTTGTAAGCAAGCCCCATTTCCCTTTCTCTGACAACTGCTAATCTACTTTGTGCTTATGGATTTATCTATTCCAAACATTTTACATAAATAGAATCATATATGTGACATTTTGTTTCAGCTTTTATGTAGCATAACACTGCTTTTAAAGGTTGAATGTAAGTCAAAGTTAGTTAATTAAAAAAGTAAAAAAACTGCTACCCTCAGTTACCAGCTCTAACCCAAACCCTTCTCCTACAGGTACAAAACTTATTTTCGTCTATTTAATGTTATAAAACTATATGAGGCCATTAGAATCATTTTGGACACTTTCTAAAACACCGACCAAAAAACCCTCTGCAATTTACAATCCGTTCTAGAGTTATCTTCTCAATACCCAACTTCTGCAGTCAAAGCAGGAAGAACAGGAGAACCGGTGAGGAACCTATTTCCAGGACATCCATATTGCTATTACAATGTTCGTTCCCAAATAAACATACTAACTTTTGGAGAATTTCTTATTTAGATGCACACAACTCTTACTGTTGATGTGACCATAAAAAGGATATAAGCCTCATTTTAAAGACAAGAAAAATTAAGATCAGAGAAGCTACTTATCCACAGTAACACAGTAAGGGTCAGAACTATAAAATACACCTTTTTTTTTTTTTTTTTTTTTTTTGCGGTACCGGGGATTGAACTCACGACCTTCCACTTGCCAGGCAGGTGCTTATGCCACTGAGCTATATCCTCAGCCCTTATACCTATTTTTTTTAAAAACATAACCATTTAGTGATCATAATAAAAGGCTCGTCTTTTCTACTTCATCAAAACACATCAATACGAGTCAGTGAAAACAGAAAGGTAAAAAGTCCAGAAATTTCCAAACTTTTGCTTTTGTTCCACATCTAAAGAAGAACTCTGATTATAAAACGTGATTGTTTTAATTTCATCAATTCCATCATCTAACTCCTCCAAGAAGTGTTTGTCTCTCTTTTCCTGTATCCTTACTATCCACACATTAATAAACCCAGCACTTGAGACTAGTATTTAGTCTTAGGATCTGAAGCATAGTAAAGCAGCTATGTCCTATAAAACCACCCTCTCATGCCTTCTAATTACCCCGCCTGACTAAACACATTTCCCAGCTGCTCTTGGTCCCATCACCTCCTGAGCCACGCTCCACTCATCCATCCCACTTCACAAGCCACTGTCTCTGCATTTTCCAGCCTAAGAAAAACCCTTCCCAAATTTTCAACCCTTTAACCACTGCCTCACTTTTCCTCTTTCCTTTATCTCCAAAACTCCGTTACTGACCTCTGTGTCTCTTAATCACTGTGCTTGTGCACCAGTCTTCCCCAGTCTACTCAAAGTGCTAAGGAACCAGGCACTTCCTAGCTGCTTTCCTAGCTGCCATGTGGAGAGACTTCTTTTCAGGCCCCATCTGGAGTTTTCCACACCAAGCACTCATTACTCTTTCCCCTCTTGAATTCTTCAGCCCACCTTTCACCCCAACTGTCATTCTACCTCGTTCACAGCTTTACAAGCTCCTCTGGAGGTCTGCGTCCTCTGCCACTGATATATGTACTGAATTACATAAGCTTACATAGATGGCCCTCTTTTAAGCTTATATCCAACAGTCCAATAGAACAGCCACTCGCCACATGTGGTTTTGTAAACTTAAAATTCAGTTCTCCCCTTGCACTTAGCTACATTTCAAGAGCTTAACAACAATTTGAAAGTGGCTGACGGTCACTTCTATCAGGGAGACATAGAATGAATGTGCATCACTGGAGAAAATTCTACTGGACCACACTGGTCTATATCCTCTCTTTCCATTCAATCAATCAGCCAATCATCAGGGGTTTCTGTGCATTCCACAGAGTTAACATCTAGGGGGAGGAGACAGTCAATAAAGCTCATCACATGAACAATCTCATTTACTCCCACATCACTGTATGCACAGGACTCCTAAATCCTCTCCAGCTTCAAACTTGAACCTCCAGTTGCTGCTAGATCCCATTTAAGAGGTATAGGAAGCACCCTCCCCACCCATCTCTCTTTTCTCATCTCTCTCTTGTGCTGGGCATCAAACCCAGGATTTTGTGCATTTGAACATTCTCTTTCTGTATTTTTTATTTCTAAGTAAATCTGCACTTTTTCTCCTCCCATGTTCAGCCACCAAGTCTGTTGAATTTGTCTTAACCCTATCCTGCTATTTCCACTTACATAGCTCTCATTATCTCTTGCCAAAAGCTTCCTAAATTGAATTTTCTAACTCCAATCCTTTCCATAGTTGCTTCTGTTTCTCTCGTTTATCCTACCCATAATGTAATGAAAAGTACAGGCTTAAAATACATGCTCAAAAATCACCAGCGAAACGCTTGCAGGATAAAACAAAAATCCCTCAGCACAAATTCACAGCACTACACCATTGGGTGTACTATTTCCACCTAAATTCCTCTCCTGCTACACACCGTATCCTCCAGCCACCCCGGATTACCAAATCCTTCAAGCGGCAATCTCTCCCCGGAATAATCTTCTAGTCTTCTCCATTAAACACACAAATAAAAGCAACCTAGTCATCTGTGTCAATGAGAAGCCTTTACCATCCCCCTGCGAGGTTTCACTCTCTTTTTTTAAAACTTCTCTGGCACGTATTCCCAGTGTCCAGTACAGTGCTCGGTGTGCAGCGAATTAAATGCTTCTCTAGACACTACTTCTGCAGGATAGAGGAGAATAAAACTTCTGATTTTTAGAAATCTTCTTTCCACGTAACTCAACAGTTTGAAACACGCACACTCAATACTCAGCAGAGTGGGAGGCCTGCTTGCTATTTTCTCGCTTTCGGAGAGTGCACTGATGCTGCCTGAACGAGGGGGCTTTGGCAGAAACTAGGAATTCTGGGCCTCACCCATTCCCAGCGTCTCGATTCCTTCTAAAAAATGGTTTGCAAAAGCAGGCACAAGGATCCAGCAGCCACTGGGAGAAAGACAGTTTAACAAGATGCAGAGTGGGTAGTGGTTATGGAATGAGCCGGGCAGAAACCCTCCAATTGGACGGTGATTGTAGAGCGATAGCACTCTCCTCCCTGGAAAGGATCGAGCTACCTACACACCTCCCCACCCAAGCCTCACCTTTCTCTTCTTCACTTCTAGGAAGCCGACACGTTTCTCGCGCACGAGCCGCCGCTTCCGGTGTTTCTGGTAACTACTTCCGGATCAAGAACCAAGTAGGAGGGTAGTCATTCGTCTTCTTGCCACGCCCACGGGATCCGAACTACGAGCTGAACTGAAATCCTGCAAGGATCAGCCGAGGTTGCCGAAGGGAGGGGGGAACGTTTCTCTCTTGGAGGCGGTCTCCGCAGGGACCTGGCCGGAAGTGACGCTAGCGAGTTCCGGTTGGCCGGAACCCAGCGGCGGGTGTGAGAGTCGGTCGGGAGCCGCTTCCAGGATCCTGAGGTCCGGAGAAGCCGGCGTCGGAGCGGGTAGGTAAACGAAAAGCGGGGGACTGGGAACGGAAGCCTGAGGCTATCCTCTGAGCTTGGCTTCTCGCCGCGCTCTCCCACTTACGGCATTGCAAATCTGGGGCACGGGGATTTCGACTTCCAGGAGTGTCAGGGCGCTGTTGGCTGTGGATGTCTCAGCCTGGAGGTAGGCAGGATATGTGAGGCACCTCTCCGGCGCTGCTTAGCTGGACATTGAACCCAGACGCTGGACTCCTTTCCGTTCGCTGTCCTCTCCACCGGCGTGGAAGCCGTACTCGGCTTCTGTAGAAAACCCTGTCTTCCCGGGGTGTCCGGGACCTTAGAGCAGGCGAAGAAGGTCTTCCCTGCTGATGAGCGAGCTGTTTGAGGATTTTTCGGTTTGGTTCTTGCCCTCCCCAACCACTGGCGCATGATGGTAAATGTATCCGCTTCTAAAAACACCGAGGCGTGTAAGTGCCACCTAAAGCCCTGATGATAGTGATCAAGGGAATGGGCCTGCGCTTCGTGGAGACCTTGCCGAGGACCTCGGATCTCCCGCTGAGAGAGGTGTCATGAAAAATACGGCTCTCTGCCTTTGCTAAATCCTTGGTTCTTAACGTTTGTATTTCTTTACAGTGAAAATATTATAGTAATACATAAAGGTCAATTTAATTTTTTTTCTTTCTTTTGTCTTTCCGAGACAGGGTCTCGCTATGCAGTTCAGGCTGGTCTTGGGCTCACTTTGTAGCCCAGGCTGGTCTCGAACTTGCAGAGATCCTCCTGCCTCAGCCTCCAGAGTGCTGAGATTACAGGCGTGCACTACCAGGCCTGGCCGTCAGTTTAATCTTTAAAATTCCAAGAATGGCCCAGTGTCACACTGCTACATTGCTTAATGACCTCCAGGCCAGGTGTAGTGGTGCATACCTGTAAGCCCAGCTTTCCAGATTCTGAGGCAGGAGGATCCCCTTGAGTTCAAGACCAGCCTGAACTGCATAGCTAAATCCTGAATCAGAAAAAAACCGAAGAAACAAAAAACTGCAAAACTTAATGACCTTCTGTAGATTTTATACAATCATCTGGTTTTCTGCAACTCGGAGCAAAAATCTGTTATATAGACTGACACTGTTCATGTATCTCGGTAAGGTTGCTTCTATCCTGTCTTATCTCCTTGAGTGCTTGTCAAAAGTTTTGTAAACAAGCCTGGGTGTGGTGGCGCACTCCTGTAATCCCAGCACACCAGAGGCTGAGGCAGGAGGATCTGATCTTCACAAGATCTAGACCAGTCTGGACTACAAAGTCAGCTCAAGGCCAGCCTGAACTGCACAGTGAGATCCTGTCTCAAAAAAAACAAAAACAAAAACAAAAAACAAAACAAAGAAGTTTTGTAAACAGATTGTATTGGTCATTTGGAAGACCTTGAGCAAGTATGTGTTGTAATGATAGAGAATTTAATACTCTGCTACTGCCTGTTAATTCTCATTAACTCTGATTTTAGTTGTGTATTTTTAGCAGAGGTGATAGGGAGAAATATTCATTAGGAGGCATTATATGCGTTTTAAATTGTTTTTACTGGCCTTTGGAAGAGAGAGGGTAATACCCCTACAAATGTGACCAATTTGTGTAGATGTGAAATAATGCAAAAGTAAAAATCTTTCATATTTTGCTTACTAGCCTACTTATGAGGAGAGGGAGTACTCGGGATTGAACCCAAAGTCTTGTGGTTGTATCACTAAGCTACATCCCCAGCCTTGCTTTATTTTTGAGACAGGTCTGACCAAGGTGCCCAGGCTGGCTTTAAACATGTGATTCTCCTGAAGCAGCCTCCCAGTGCTACACCCCCCTCACTGGCAAACTGCGTTATTTAAAAGCACTGGAATTTTTTTAAATTAGATGTTATGGGTACATTTTAGATATGCATAATGATCACATTCATCATAGAGAATTTGTACCTGTACATGATATAACTTGGTGTTTTTTCTGCATTCCCCAACCCTCCCTTCAACCCCTCCTCCCCTCCCCACTTAACAAAGCTTTGTTTCCATGTTTTTCTTCTTTTCTCATTTTTTACTTTTCTTTCCTTTCTGTCTCTCCTCTCCCTTGTTCACTCTCCTTTTGAACATTTTCCTCCTATTTCACAATACCTGTTATACATTTTGGTCTTTATTTATATTTTTGGCTTCTCACACTAGAGAAACAATGCAGTATTTACACATGTCTGATTTATTTCACTTAAGAGCATGGACTCAGTATGCATCCATTTTCCTAGAAATGCCTCAAGCATGTCCTTCTTTAGGGCAGAGTAGTACTCCATTGTATTAAAAGAAAAAAACACATCTTCTTTATCCATTCACCAGTTGATGGGCACTTGGACTGTTTCCAAGATTTGACTATTACAAACTGAAGTGCTGAAACTTTTTTTAGAAGGATAAATTCAGCCAGGTGTGGTAATGCATTACTGTAATTCCAGCATTTGAGAGGCTGAGGCAGAAGGATGAACATAAGTCCAAGGCCACTCTGGATTACATAGTGAGTTCAAGGCCAGAGTGAACTTGTGGGACCCAATCTCACCACCTTCTCTTGAAAAAAGCATATATTCTTTTTTTTTTTTTTTTGTTTTTTGGTTTTTCTCCGGTACCGGGAACCGAACTCACGACCTTGCGCTTGCCAGGCAGGCGCTTTGCCGCTGAGCTAAATCCCCAGCCCCAAAAGCATATATTCTTTGTGAATATACTTGATCAATACAGTTAAATGCCTATGGCTCACATTCCAGAAGAAAATACACATACAACTAGGTTTCTTAAATACTTTAATAACTGGTTTGATCCCTTTTAACACTTTACCTACAGCTAGTTGAACCAGTCTGGTTTTTTATTTCTTCACATCTTCTTTTTATTAGTGCATATTGTCTGTACAGATTAGTAGGTTGCATTTTGGCAGATTCATACATGCATGTAACATACTTCCGTCATCACCCCCCACACACACACACCACTACCTTTGCCCTATAAACCCTCCAGTTTCACATGGTTTCGGTGCTTATAATGTACTTTGATTGTATCTGTCCCCCCATTACCTGTCTTTACACTCCCATCCCCCTTCATTCCCATCCTCGTGTCTGCTTATAGTCCCCCTTCTCCTTTTTGGTTATCTTTGTTAGATTCCACATGTTAGGGACAACATGCGCTATTTGTCTTTCAGTCTGTTATTCGCATATTGTTCTTATTTTTGAGTTAAAGTTTTTTCATGCTTGTCTTTGAAATGAGGTGACAAGCTTTTTGACAGGTAAAATTGTAAAGGATGTATCATTAAGATTCAGGAACTTCATTTATTGGTTATATAAATCCCAAATTGTTTTTATATATTCCTTTTGTTCAGTTCCGTTATCCAGGGACTGATTTTCCAACACCACTCTTTAGGATTTTGAAGATCGTGAAACATTCAGTCAGAGGACCTGTATTGAATTGTGGGCTCCAGCACTAATTGAGTCATGGTTGACAGGTTGTCTGACACTCTGAGCTGGTCTGGATTGTGTTGATAAAAATACTGGGCTTTATTTCAGAAGCTGTCACAAGATTTAGTAAGGTAGCAAGTGTGAAATCACTATATAAAGTGAAAATATGTTGATATTATCGTTTCACTCTGACATATGGAGATCTCGGTGTAGAATACTGTAACTTTGCATCATTTTATGATTTGATCATTTATATTATATATCCTTTTATCTGAAAATGTCACACATTTCTGAGGTGATCTTTGTCCTACTTTTGAGCACAGTCAAGCTGGCCAGGAATGGTTTGATACTCTGATTCATTGAATTAATCATCTGGGTTAATCAGTAGGTGTCTGAAAGATGAATGTCTTCATTGGGGAGTTTAAATGTGATCTTTTTTACCCGTCATGTATTATCACTTGAGAATTTCCAAGTGCAGAAGAAAAACTGACGCTTTACGTGCTTATTTACAGAGTTGGCCAAAAACATGTATACATACTTCAAGAAAAAAAAACTTGTCTAAATACTTTAATACTAAGTGTATTGGGACATCATGAGATTAGTACAAGTTACCTTTGGCCTCTGCAGTTACAAGAGGTGCTCCAAGTGGTGGCTGTGAGCTTCCAGACATGTATTAGCACGGTGAACGGCTGCCTGGGTAACCTTGGTCACTGAGATTGCTGCACATGCATTTTCATTCTTCTCTAAGGGCCATCAGTGTCATGGGTTTTCTGTGATATGTATGACATCCTCTGGGGTCCCCCGTACCAGAATAACAACTTCTGTTGAAGAACACACTTTAACTCTTTTTCTGAAGTATGTATACATTTTTTGGGCAGACTGTATTATTAACTGAAGGTTAGAAGTAGCCCTCAGCTTGCTTACTTAAGTAAGAAATACTATTTTACTGAAACTAATATTTAGAACTAGAAAGAACTTCTATGAACATACAGTCTTTTCATTTAATAGAAGGGAGAATTACGGCCCCAAAACACACGGTAATTGGCTCACTGGAGGTCATCTGACATGGGTAATACCGAACCTGAACTGAAGTTAAGGTCTTAAGTGCCCTTTCTGTTTTGCTAAGGTTATCCCTAAACATCTTGTTGTTTGGTAATATGTAATCCTAAAACTCTGGGAGGCGGAGGCAGTATGCAATAATCCTTAATGTGTTAATGGAGTACACACACAATAAACACAAACTTTTTCCTTTTTAGCTGGTATAGTCTTGTAAATTGTAGGAAAACAAAAATGTCCTTGGGAGATTTGCTGTGGAGTGAATTAAAGAAAGAAAAGTACTTACATTCTTCAGAACAGTTATTCTGAGTTCGTACTTGATTACTGTCAGAAATTGGAACGTTTTCTCTCTAGTGAGTGGAAATGACAGGATCCTTATAACACATTAGTGAACGTTGCTAATCAGTAAGGTGAGCTTTATTGATTTCTTGCCCCTGATTGAAACTGTTTCCCCATGCTGTTGTTTTACTATTCTATTCTGTTAGGTACCTTTTACCTATAGAATCATCTTTAG